ATGCTGATGGTCACAACAAGAGATGAAGATAGATTCAAGGACCAATGGTACTTGGACTCAGGATGCTCATCACATATGTCTGGAAGGAAAGACTGGTTTGTCAATATAAAGCCCTCAATGAAAAATATGGTAAAATTTACAAATGACAATTCCCTAGCAGCTGAAGATATTAGTGATGTTATGATTATGAGGAAAGATGGCAAAAGATCAGTAATCTCCGATGTGTTATACATACCAGGCATGAAGAGCAACTTGCTCAGTATAGGGCAGTTGGTCGAAAAGAATTATAAAGTGTCAATCGAAAATAAGATGATGAAAGTCGTTGATGCAAATGGGAGATTAATCTTGAAGGCTCCTATGTCTCAGAATCGAACCTTCAAGATTGAACTAAATGTGATGGAGCACAAGTGCCTTTCGACTGCAACTAGCAGAGATGAATGGATATGGCATTATAGATTAGGCCATCTCAACTTCAGAGACATCATAGATTTGAAGAGAAAAAATATGGTCTCAGGATTTCCTGAAATTGACATTCCAAATGAAGTATGTGAGGAATGTGTGCAGGCGAAGCAACACGAGAATAACTTCAGCAAGGATGTAGGAAGCAGATCGAAGGCTATTCTTAAAGTCATATACTCTGATGTATGTGGACCAATCCAGGTGGATTCAATTGGAGGTAACAAATATTTTGTTACATTCATAGATTATTTCAGTCGAAAGCTATGGACTTACCTGATCAAGAAGAAAAGTGAAGTTATCGAAGTATTTCCAAGTTTAAGTCTATGGTCGAAAGACAAATTGGTCGAAAGCTCAAAGTTTTGAGAACTGATGGTGGTGGAGAATATGTGTCGAAAGACTTCGACAGGCTACGTGAAAAGGAATGGATTGTGCATGAGGTGGTGCCACCATATACTCCACAACAAAATGGAATTGCAGAAAGGAAGAATCGAACCATCATGAATATGGTGAGAAGTATGTTAAAAGGCAAGAATTTACCTAAAGAGTTTTGGGGTGAAGCTGTTTCGACTGCAACATACATTTTAAACAGATGTCCTACAAAGAAGATAGAAGGAATTACTCCAGAAGAATGTTGGTCTGGTGTGAAGCCTAGCTTGAGTCATCTGAAGGTATTTGGATCTATTGCACATAGACATGTGTCAGATCAGTTGAGAATAAAACTTGATGACAAGTCAAGTCAAATGATTCTAGTTGGATATCATTCGAACAAGAAGATTGTGATCAGTAGGGACGTGATCATAGATGAGTTTAGAGAATGGCATTGGACTGAAAATGTCAAGAAAGATTCAATGGGAATCTTTCTTGAAGAGCCAGAAACTCAAGTCGAAAGAGAAGTTTGACAAGAGGAACCAGCAGATATACCAAGTACAAGCAGGCCTCAAAGAACAAGACGTATGTTTGCAATATTGCAAGATTGTGTGATTACATCAGATGATGTAATAGATAATGAAGGTGAGCTGGTACATTATGCTTTCTATGCAGATGTCGAACCTATTAATGCAGCTGAAGCATTAAAAAATTCAAAGTGGGTGAAAGCAATGAACGAAAAAGTAAAGTCTATCGAAGACAACAACACTTGGTCACTTGTCGAATTGCCTCAAGGCAAGAAGGCAATTGATGTCAAATGGGTATACAAAGTGAAAACGAATTCGAAAGGTGAAGTAACTCGACACAAAGCAAGACTTGTGGCGAAAGGATTTCTACAGAAAGAAGGTATAGACTTCGATGAAATTTTTGCACCTGTTGCTAGAATCAAAACAATCAGGTTGGTTGTTGGTCTAGAAGAAATAAACAATTGGCACATATGTCAGATGGACGTGAAGTGTGCATTCCTAAATGGACCCTTATAAGAAAAAGTTTATGTTAAACAACCAGTTGGGTTTGTGAAACATGATGAAGAAAGAAAGGTGTACAGACTGCATAAAGCCCTGTATGGATTGAAACAAGCTCCAAGAACTTGGAATAAGAAAATTGATAATTTCCTAAGGGAGAAGGAATTTGTAAAGTGCACAACTGAACATGGAGTATATGTAAGAAGAAGCAATAGTGAATTTTTTATACTATGTCTCTATGTAGATGATTTGTTGATAACAAGTAGCTGTAAAAGTGAGATTGAAGACTTCAAAGGTGATCTCAACAAGGAATTCGAAATGTCTGATTTGGGTGAGATTTCATATTTCCTTGGAATCGAATTCTACAAGAGCAGTAGAGGTTTGATGATGCATCAAAGAAGATATGCAGGAGAAATTCTCAAGAGGTTTGAGATGGAAGAATGCAACTCAACTTCGACACCTGCAGAACCAAGACTGCAAATATCGAAAGATGCAGATGAAGATGATGTTGATCCAACCCAATACAGAAAACTTATTGGATCATTAAGATATATTTATCATACAATGCCTGACAGCATACAGTGTAGGTATGGTAAGTAGATTCATGCAGAAGCCAAAGGTATCACATCTAGCAGCAATAAAAAGGATACTGAGGTATTTCAAAGGAACTTTCGATTATGGCATTTTGTTTCCTGCAGCTGATAAAGGAAAAAGAATGCAAGTTAGTGGAATACACTGATTCGAGTTGGTGTAGTGATGCTGAAGATCGAAAGTCAACAACATGATATGTGTTTATGCTAGGTGGTGCACCAGTTGCTTGAAATACAAGAAAGAACCCAATAGTAACATTATCATCATGCGAAGCAGAATACACAACTGCTTCTCTTTGTGCATGTCAAGCAACTTGGATGGTAAACTTGTTCGAAGAGATAACAGGGAAAGATCATGGAACAATTACCATGAAGATCGACAGCATGTCAGCTATTAATCTGACAAAGAACCCAATAGCACATGTTCAAAGTAAGCACATCGAAATGAGGTTTCATTATCTTCGAGAACAGGTAGCAGATAGGAAGATGAATTTGGAACACTGCAGAACTGAGAATCAGATTGCAGACATCATGAAGAAGGGAGTGCAAGTCGAAGTATTCAAAAGATTAAGAGCCATGATGAACATAGATAGTTTAGACACAATGAATTTGGTGGTGTGTTAAATTGTAATTCAGTGTATCGAAACTATGTGTCGAAAAGATTTGATTTGTTTTAGATTTAAATAGATTTGATTTAAGTCTAGAATAGATTTGATTTGATTTAGTAACAAAATAGATATTTTGGGCTTTGGGTTTAGAGTGTAAGCTCAGTTATAAATAGAGGGAGTAACTTCTATTTTTATAAGCAAGTCAAACAAGTTATTCACAGTATTTTGCAGTTGCAAAGTAAATAAGAAAGTTTTCACAGTTTGTGAGCAGAGAGAAACTCTGTAGAAATTATTTGTCTTGTCTTCTTTTCTTTATTTATCTCATAATTAAGTTGTCATTGTAGTAGAAATTCATCATAGAATTTGATAGATTTCCAACATTGATGAGAGAGAATTTGATGATCGTTGAAGTTTTTTTCAGTATCAAAAAATTTGTTTAGTGACTAATTAGAGATTAAAAAAATTTAAAAATTGATCACCAAAATATTTAGCAATCGATTTACGGACCAATGCTTTTTAATAGAAAGAGTGCTAGTCGTTAAATTTTAACGACGAATTTTAATAATCAAAATTTAACAATCGAATTTGTGATTAAATTTAGTGGTCATCTTTTTTAAAGACTTTTATATAAATTTAGTGGTCATCTTTTTTAAAGACTTTTATATAATCTATCTTTAAATATAGTAATAAAATTTTTAAAATTATTTTCAGAAAATCAATATATAAAATATAATTTTATCATACAATTCAATTATGTAAATATAAAAGTTTTATAACAAAAATAAAAATCACTTTTATTTGAAAAAAAAATCATTTTTATACAAAATATAAATCTAAATGACATTATCTTATCTTTTCCATAAATATATGTTTTATTTGTTAAAATAATACCAAAATAAAACTTTTACTAAAAATTAAAATATTTAAAAGAAAATAATAACATAATAAAAATAATCAAAAAACAAAAGAGAAAAAAAACAAAAATAAATATTAGTAATCAAAATTTCAATCTCTAATTTTTTTATATAAAAAAAAATTTATATTAAATAAATTGTTTTGGTCACAAATTTTTTATCGTTAAATTAATAATTGATTTATTTTAATAATCGATTTAAAAACCTTTTAAAATTAATTCACAAATATCAAAATTCTCTAAATTCTCTTAAAATTTATTTAAGAATAGCTGATTTATTTTAATAATCGATTTAACAACCTTTTAAAATTCTAAGAATAGCTGATTTATTATAATAATCAACTTAACAACTTTTTAAAATTAATTGACGAATTTAAAAACCTTTTAAAATTAATTCACGAATATCAAAATTCTCTTAAAAATTTATTTAAGATATCTGATTTATTTTTTTAAAATTAATTCACGAATATCAAAATTCTCTTAAAATTTATTTTAGAATAACTGATTTATTTTAATAATCAGCTTAGCAAGCTTTTAAAATTCACAAATTCAATTTAAAATTCACGAATTCAATTTAAAAATATCAAAATTTTGATAGCAAGTCGATCTCTACCTTGAGGGAAATTTGTAAACACTTAAAATGTTCATATATCAAAAGTTAATTACATCTAAACATTATTTATTGACCATATAAACGCTAACAAAAGTGATCTTTGGTTATTTGGTTATTGTCTTTTACTCTTCTTTTTTAAAATTCTATACTAATTGTTGTTCTAATCTTATAAATAAATTTTTTTCTTATATTAAATATAATAAATAGATTAAAAAAAAGACCAAACCCACGTATTTTATTGAGTTATATTGAAGTGCAACAACAAACACAGGCATAACATATAGTAATGCCACGATTACTTACTTAAGAGCCCTCTAGATACATTTATATGACCAACAAACATAACATGTAGCTAATTATAGAAACTACAAGCCATTTTATTTTTATGGATTATGCTATTAAAACCACACACTCATGCATATCTTTTCAAGTGCGGCAAGAGGCACAAGTGCAGCTTGCATCACATCTGCAACCACTTCCAGCAGCAACAGTCCTGGAGCAGTTGCATGGATTACATTCACAGTGCTCTCCACATGGACATGTTGTGTGGTCAGTTCTTGCACCACCCTCACTACTTGTGCACCTGTTTTAATTCATGTTTCATTAAGAAGACTATAACGGTTAATTAATATGAGATCAAGAAGAAGAAGAAGATGAAAAGAACCTGCAAGTGGAACCACCAGCACAAGGAACAGTGCAGCCACACCTGTTATCACACACTACCACTCTTCCTGTGTCTGCCATTATTTTCTCTTTTTTTTGTAAAATGTTTGTTTGAGTTTTCAATGTTTCTTCACGCCTTATATAGGTCTTGATGGACTTGATAACTAGTGCATATATAATTAAGAATATATATGACATATGTCAACTTAATGTAGTAAGTGGCAATAGTTCCAAATTCAATTCCTCAGCTGAGTACCACGTAGAAAGTTTGGATAAGGACGGGTCTACTTGAAGTTTGAAAACACTAATTACTCTTCGGTTTTAAAAAGATTTAGTTGTTTAAGATTCTATACATATATTAAAATTGTCAAATAATCATTACATGTTGTGATCAAATAAATGTGGCATAGGAAAGTGACTTGTAGGTGGGAGGTTGTCTCCATTTATAAAAATATAAATATGTTCACATTATATATTATCTATAAATAAAAAAAATCATGTTATATGTTATTTGATGTATGATTTCTAATATATCTCTCATCTCTCATATTTAAAATTAAATATTTTTTTATGTCAGATTCTTAACACATCCTTCACATTTAAAATAAGATATCTAAAACGTGAAAATAAAAAATAGATTGAAATTTTTTTTTAGTAATAATTAAATATTGAAAAAAAATACATAAATAATTATATTTTAGAGAAAATTAAGTAAATAATTATATTTTAGAAAATACTATAATAGAGGTGTCAAGTGAGATGGCGCATGCAATCACTTTTTTGTCTTAGGCGTCATCTCACTTAGAGCATGCACTTTGTTTTAGTCATGAGAGGTGGCACATGCACTATAAAAAAGGGAGGAGATATCATTTGAAATGGCTACTACGTGCAATTGTGTTTTCTATAAATAAAACATCTATTTATTTATCATTCTTCACACTTTCTCACATTCTCTACTTATTTTTTCTCGGTTATTTGCATCAAGACATCTCTCATAATTTTCACTAGAGATGATACGTTATTTTCTCGGCCACCAAACCCCCGATGAAAATGAAATTTTGGCACATTCACTCTATGGAGCGTCTGAAGAGAGAGTTGATGTGATGGCTAGAGGGAGACATCGAGGCTGGGGAACAAATTAAAAGGATCTAGAGAAGAAGAAGAACCATCTCACTTGTAATTGGAAGAACTCAATCTTGGTTGGAGGAAGTCAAAATAACAGAGACGTAATGGTGATGATGCATGGCTCAGATGAAATTGTTTTGACGGTTGTAATTTCTTAGATGTTTTATCGTGTTTTTATTTATTGTTTGTGTATGTTTTGTTGTAACAAATGCTCTTAATGAAAAAAATGTACGTTTAGAACTTGAAAAAGTGCAGATGGTTTGCATACAATTTTTATATTGTCGAGCTTGTAACCCGAGTTAGACAATTTTTTTGATTTTGTCCGACCTGACGACATAAACCATACTTTCTTTCTAACTTGTCAAGGGAGTCCATTTCAGTTGTGATACACTTGCTTTTGGGACTATCCTTTTTATTTCTTCGTATTTGATCGTTGTGCCATACAATTTTCCCGTCGTATGCAGGCCAATAATCAGGTTTCGCTACCATTGAGAAACCATTGTTGTATACGCTGAGCAAGGTCTCGGACTTGTAAATGGCAGATAGAAGTAGTAATGCATCTTGATGAGTATACGCACATGCCGCAATGACATGAGTGTAAGACATACGAAAGGCTTAAAACTTTCCACAATCACACCAACGAGATGGTAGTATAACCATATACTCTTGTCTTGGCAGCCCCTTGTTGTGGTCGATTGTCTCTTTGACAATGAAGTTGTGGTTATGTCGGTCGAACCGTATAACAAAATTGGTGTTGGCTTTGAAACTTTTTGCCTTAATATACTTCATGCAGCTTTCACTCCATAGTTGTCCCGATTGTAAGACCGTGTTCCATATGTCACCTCTTTTTGCAAACAATGAAGCCATCCTAAAATATGTTGATTTCACCAAAGCGGTTACTGAGAGGTTTCATATGCCTTTGAATACACCGTTCATTGATTCAATAAGATTTGTTGTCATGTGGCCTCATCGTTGTCCATTGTTGTATGACCTTGTCCATTTCTCCACTAGAATATTATCAATCCACCTACCTGCATCCAGATTTGACAATTTTATCTCATTGTGATAGTGTTTGAATGAAGGTTGTGTTAATGCATACCCCACGTTCATAACTGTTTTCCTAAGAGCCTTGACTTTAATCTCCCTCGTGAAATTTTGTACGATATGTTAATAAGTTTAAAATACAGTTATTTTTGTATATACTTTTTATTGCACTTATCGATTTTTTGTTGTTAATATCATTGAATAAACCTGACTTTTGTGTAAATATGTTTAGTTTGTGTTTATTTTTGTTTTTGTGTATATAGTGTACCATTTGATGTTTTTCCATTCATTGTGTAGGTATTTGTTGCATTTTGGAGCATTGAGGAATAAAGTGTCGAAGGCACGATTCTGAATATGTGTTTTCGGAATAAAAAAACCAATTTTGAGACATTTTGTCCAGAAGAGCCCGCTTAGCGCGCAGAGGCCGCTAAGCGCGAGTGCCGCTCAGCACATTTTGTAGCGCGCTGCTTGCGTTTGACAATTTGGCAGAACCAATGTTTTGAAGCCCGCTTAGCGCGTTTTAGGTCGGTTTGATGTGTAAAATAAGCAAGTTGCGCTTAGCGCGTCAGGCCCGCTTAGCGCGGTCTGCTGAGATTTGTTTTATAACTTCATTTCATTCATTTTTTAGGTTATGGTTTTGAGGAAGTTTTTGCTCCCAACTCCATCAACCTGTAAATTTTGTTAGGATTAGCTTAGATAACAACTATGGACACGATACGAAGAATTAATAACCAATCTATGTGGACACGATACGATAAAACCTAAATATCACCTGGTAAATTAATAACTTACTTTTTGCTTACCGCTTTACCGCAACAACAACGGGTGATATTTAGGTTATATCGTATCGTGTCTACAGAGATTGATTATTGATTCACTGTTCCACAAATCATTCGTTAATGAGTTTGGGGATAAATGGGTTAAAAGAAAATGTATTAATAGAAAATAAATGTATAAAAAGGAAAAATGAATAACTTATCAAGCATGCATATATACCACTTCTCACAGACTTAAACCTGTCGACCTGTTATACTCAACCTACAATATTCATCAATGTCACAACGTATAACTCATAACCTAATTTATTTCTAACCCAAATTGAGAGGTTGACTGCATCACCTCGGTAGCGATCTCTCAACCACCTCAACAACACAGAAGTCAACTGTGCTCGCCTGTATCGATGATCTCTCAGAGCGACACAAACAACACTGAGGCATTAAGCTTTGATACCCAAGTAGATGTCAGCTCTAAATCTATCTCTAGAGTTCATAAACTAATAGATAATCATCCTAGATAAGAATCTAAGCAGTATATGTCTATAACAACTCAAATCCCTAACACAGAGTAAAAATCCATGACAACAATCCACAAAGATTCGTAAAGCAAGTTTAATATAACGCCAAAGGCGACAAATATACATCAATTCAAAGAAAATATACATATGAACCCAACCAATAGAGAATACACAAAGAAAAAGAGAAATGAACTACAAATCTATCGGTTTGTCAGCGGCGATTGAAGAGCAATCCATCCGGGATCAACTGTATGCAAGCTCCATAGTTGTTTTCTAAGCTAATCCTAACAAAATTTACAGGTTGATGGAGTTAAGAGCAAAAACTTCCCCAAAACCATAACCTAAAAAATGAATGAAATGAAGTTATAAAACAAATCTCAGCAGACTACGCTAAGCGGACCTGGCGCGCTAAGCTCAACTTGCTTATTTTACACATCAAACCGACCTAAACCGCGCTAAGCGGGCTTTAAAACATTGGTTTTTACAAATTGTCAAACGCAAGAAGCGCGCTACAAAATATGTTGAGAGGCACTCGCGTTTAGCGGCCTTTGCGCGCTAAGCGGGCTCTCCTGGACAGAATGTCCCAAAACTGGTCTTTTATTCCGAAAATGCACATCCGAAGCCGTGCCTTCGACACTTTATTCCTCAATGCTCCAAAATGCAACAAATACCTACAAAATGAATGGAAAAACATCAAACAGTACACTGTATACTCAAAAACACAAATAAACACAAACTAAACGTATTTACATAAAATTAGGGTTTATTCAATGATATTAATAACAAAAAGTCGATAAGTGCAACAAAAAGTATATACAAAAATAATTAAAATTTGCACTTATCATATGTCTAATGCAGTAGACATGCGTAGAAGGAGGGTCATACCAACCATTTGCAGGATTATTGTATGCACTCTCAATAGATGCATGTCTGTCGGAGATCAAACAGAGACCAGGTTGAGGAGCCACGTATGTTCGGAGATTCTTGAGAAAGAAACTCCAAGCACCACCAGTATCTCCCTTGACTAGAGCAAAGGCAATTGGGAAAATGTTGTTGTTGCCATCTTATGCAATTCGCATCAGTAGTGTGCCTTTGTATTTCCCGTACAACCTCGTTCCATCTATTTGAATAATAAGTTTACAGGACGTAAACCCTGTGATGCAAGGTTGAAAAGCTCAGAATAGTCGACTGAATATTCCATTTTCGTTGACATAAGTACCATCTGGGGCATACGTCGACAATGTTTCCATAATATAAATAGTTTCAGGAGAATACGTCTGAAGTTCCTGCAGGTAGCGCGGTAGTGCTTTGTATGACTCCTGCCAATTTCCATATACCTTTTCAATCTCCTTGGTCTTTTCTAACCATGTATTTCTGTATGATGGAGTATAACTTTATACTATAGTGATGTGAGTGATTATGGTTTTCACTTTCAATGACGGATCATTACTGACGAGAGGTAGGATTTCTTGACATATTAGATCATAATTTAGTTTACGATGATCTTGTGATTGAGTAGAATTGACGAACGTGTGGGTGGACATAGAACTTATCATCCAACAATCACCTCTCAACCTGTATGATGTAGTGAGCCTGAACATACAATCTGGGTGAACAC